ATCTTCATATTGTATATTATCCACCTTCAATTGATTCTTAACCATGTTCAAATAAGCATCCCATTATGAAGCTTATTTCCATTCTACTTCTTTGATTAGATCTGAAATGATACTACTAATAGTAAAAACTTCTATCTTATCTTTCAATTTGTACTTCGAATCTAATCTTTGTCATAAACTATTTGGCATAGTATGTTGTTGCCTTTTTTTGTACTCAAGCTAGATATCAAAAAATTACAATTATTCTTTTCAATGATATTGCCATGATTTCATATTTTTCAGATGCAAATCATGTAACAAAGGTTAATGGTCAATTCCAGCAACTACTCGCTTTTCTAATAGATAGTGTCGCCATATGTTTATGGCATGTATAATTGCTAATTGGTTTCGATCACGTATAGAATAATTGTGCTCTACCCTTCTGAGCTTATGTGATTTATATGCCACAAGTTGAAGGCCTCTACTAAAATCTTATTGAAGGACCATTCTAATAGCAAAGTTGGAAGCATCAATGTCAAGTGTACAAGGAAGATTAAGATCATACGGTTGCAATATTGGAGTAGTAATGAGTGCCTCCTTCAACTTATCAAAGGTGTTTTGCTACTCCAATTTTCATTCAAATGAGGCACCTTTCTCCAATAGGTTTGTCGATGAGACAGCAATGTGAATAAATTGCTAAACAAAACAGCGATAGTATCTAGTAAGGCCTAAAAATGAGTGAACTTTAAAATCATCCTTGGGAGTTGGCCAATCCTCCACTGCTTTTACCTTATCTTATTCCACATGCATGCCTTCAAAAGACACAACATGCTCCAAAAAGGTGACTTTCAACTTCCAAAGTTCACAATTTGATTACTTGCAATAAAAGCAACTATCTTGTAGTCGACATAGTACCTCTCATCGGTATTACTCATACTCTTTAGGGATTTTATTATATACAAAGATATCATCAATAAAGTCAATTACATACTTATCCAAAAGGTTTCAAAATAATCTATTCATGTGACCCATAAAAGAAATTAGAGCATTAGTGAGGCCAAAGGATAAAACTAGCCATTTGAAATGTCCATAGCATGTATAAAATGCCATCTTTTCTACATCTTCTCTTATAATCAGTGTTTGCTAATAGTCGCTCTAAAGATTAAATTTATTAAAGATAAATTTTTTAAGTGCAAAGAGTATAGGTGCTCCTCATAATAATGTACTTTCTCAAATAAGGCTTTTCTCCAAGAGTTCATCTAATGTCTTTCATAACTCTTCAAGTTCTTTTGGTGGTAAGCGATAAATTGGTCGACTTGCTGGTTTGGCTTCAAGCAATGGTTCTATTTGAAAAGGGGCACCTCAATCAGGAGGTATGCCATTAAGTAGGTTGATTGAAAAGACATTCTAATATTCTCGTATGAGTTGCTCCACTTATTCTATCCCTTTGGTAGTCTTTCCTACCATTCATGTAAGATTTGGAACCACCATATATACTAGTTGCTAATATTATAGTTGCTTCTTCATAAAAATTGTCCCTACAAAGAAGTCTTTGATTGCAGATTGTCTTTCATCTTGACTTGATGTAGAGGTACAAAGAATCACCTTGTGTCTTCCATCTTTAAAAGAGATTATCCTTACAAGTCAATTAACTTGTTTATTGTCCATCTTCAGCCATGGCATACTAAAGATAATATCATACCTTAGCTTTGTATCATGGACATATACATTTACTTCAATAATTACTTATATGATTAAGTAGAAGTATGTAAATATATATTATTTTCATAAAGTTTTTTAGTAAAGCTTTCTAGTAGCTTCATAGATGTGGTTTTGACTTTAGATGTGTTTGTAGGTCAAAAACTTGGCCATCAAGTTAATTACATGTTGGTAGCTTGTGGAATAAGTTAACTCCGCATAATACCTTGTAGAATAAGCCATCCATGTGGCACATACATAGATAAATTGCCTTGCTAGTTAAGACATATGGCTAACAAAGTGAATATGTTTTGGAGGTCCTATAGGACATCGTTATGTAGCTCCTAGTTAAGAGTATATATGGAGGCAAGAGTGAAGCCTTCTTCACTCTTGTCAATGCCATACTAGTCCTTAGTCTTGTTTCAAGACTTTCTAATCTTCTTGTTTTTAGCAATAGCCATTCTAGTTAATATTACATTACCTTTTGAGTGGCTTTCTAGTTTTCTTCAATGACACAAGAGTGTATCAAGGATTTTCTTTCTTTAAAATTCATGTCCCTAATACTTTGTTACCTTAAATCTCTCTTTTAAGTCCTAGATGTTTGTTAATTTCAAGGTTTCTTCTTCACACATTTCACTCAATACATTCTCTCGATCATCTATAAGGTATATACTTCCTCTTTTGATTTCCTTGATTTTAATTCCAAGCCAATCAGCAATTTCAATTGAAATGTAATTTTTTTATAGAGCCATAATCTACGAGCACTCTACGTGGTTGTCTTCTTAGTAGTCCCATTAGAAGCACCAATCAACTCTTTTTATAGTTGTCCAAGGCTATGCCATTTGTCTCTAAGAAACAATAGCTACTCCCAGTACTAGCCATTAACGCCTTTATTGGAGAGCCCCATTTCCCTACTCTGACTCATTATCGATTTGGTGAGTTTTGAGATTCTAAACTTGCCTTGTCTTGCTAGTTCTTGCACTTTGACAATTTAAACATCCTCTAATCTGATCGCCTGATTCTCGAGAATAGAAATACAATTCTTTTTGCACCAATATTTGTTGTCTTTGTAGTGTCATTGATCCTTATATGGCATCAATCTCCATTGATATTGATTATTGTGCCATAATATTAGATAGCGGCATAGGACTTTATGCTATAGGTCATGCTTTATGATTTTTGAAATCTATAATATCGACCCTCTCTACAATCCAAATTGCTTCTTCAAATGTTTGTAGATCCCTTAACTCAACTTCTTGCTGGATTCTAGATTTCAAACCTCGTAGAAATCGATCCATCATCTCCGCCTTTGAAACATTGTTAATTTAGAGATATTAGGGCTTGAATCAAAAGACATAAACTTGCATCGACCTAGCTTGTATAAGATTTAACAAGTAATTGTATGCTATCTTCTCCACATTGATGGACCAAAATTGATTCCTAAACTCGGTCTCAAACTCCTCCTAGTTACAAAATCCACCTTTAGCTCCATAACTTTGAACTCGATGTCGCCACCAAATAGCTGTTGCATCTCTCAAATAGCTAGGCACATATATAATTCCTTCAGTGGTATTTGCTCTAGATAATTGAAGGTATTGTTGCATATTGAAGAGCCATTGACATACATCTTCTCGTCTTGAAGTTCTAGAGTATGTACTAGGTTTATTCAATTTCAACCTAGCAGATGTCGACTCTCTTGTTCTTGAGGCTTCTATTTGCCCTTGCAAAGTAGCTTTCTGGCCTAAGAGGTCTTGTATTTGAGCCTCCATCTAGGATTGCTCTGCTATATCTGTCATACTATAATTTCTCCCTTGAACTCTACTATTGTAATGCCTTCTCACTTCTCGATTGATTTTTTAAGAGTAGCTTGTGATAGCCTCAATACAATATCCAAAGTGACTAAAATAATTGATCTTGATTAAATGATGAATATTGATATGCTACCAAAAGTAAATAGTTTAATATTTGCTCTGATACCAATGAAACATGACTAGACTATCTCAAAAATCCAAGATCTTTCTAATCTACAACAACATAAGGCCTCTTTACAAAATAAGACAAAAAAGACTATAACAAAACTAAACGGATCTAAACAAAATAGGTCATGAAAGACAAAACTGAGCAAATAGAAACAAAACAAAACAGATTTGAATAGAAAGATGCAAAACCAAACTTTACTAAGAGAAAGTATCAAAGCCATACCTAATTAGATGCTCCAAAAGACACTGGCCAATCTTATTTATACCTTATTCTACCATCTTAGACTTTCTACAATGTTCTTAGGTAGTAGGCCCTACCTAAATAACCACCTTAAATTCTTTTTCTAGAAGGTTCCATAGTAGGCCTTATTTAGATAATCACCCTATGCTTTCTTTCAGAAGATTTTATGGTAGGCCCCACCAAAATAACTACCCTAAATCTTTTCTAGAATGTTCTATGGTGGATCCTACTTGGTCCACTAACCTAATCTCAATTCTATAAACATCCATGGTTCTAATTATTTATATAATTAACTTATTCATATCAAATGATGAATAATTTTCAGCATTTTATTGGACTAAGTGCTGATAGTCTCAGAAAGCGCAGATTGAAATGAATAGTAAGCAAGCACTCGCTGTGTGGAATTGGATTCTACAAGACATGGCTACAATTTAACTCCCAATGTATCATGGGAATAACAATCTAGTGTAAGTTGGATTGAAGTGATATGAGCTAGAGTTTCCTGATTGTCGATTTTACAAGGCCATAAAGTTGGGGAGCTGCACATGTTATGGAAACACACATGAGCGGGGTTTCCATCCGTGAATTTTAGAATTCATATTTTGAGTCAACATACTGGGTACGAAGGTTCAGAGAATTCGTAAAAAAAAAAAATAGTAATTAAAAATAATAGTAATTGAGAACGTAAATTTGGTGCACCTTGTGTACGATATTTGGTAATTGTACAAACAGAGCATGCTGGAGTGGTAAGCGAAAACAGAAGTGAATATAGTGGGAATTGTTAGCTAAAATTTCCATCTAATAGTAGCAACTGCAGGCTATGGGGGACATAGTGCGTTGCCGTCGCCATTCCCGACGGACGTAAGCTGATGCTATGGAGAAAGTACTTGTAGAGATCGTGAGAGGAGGGTGGTGAGTTACTGTAAATCTCTTGTAGAGCGTTTGTCTCGCCAACTGCGTTACGATACAGTCCCCTTTTTGCTGTCTTGATTGAAGCCAGGTAGTCGCCGTAGCTGTTTGGGCGGAATGGATGGGCAAGTAGGTTGCAGGAGCGGCTTGCGGCGGAAGACGAGCCAAATGGTGATACACAGTTGCAGTTACCATTGCTGATTTTCTTTTCTTTCGGGAGCTTCCTAGTTTCCAAGCATCGCTTCTTTTGAGACCATGTGCAGACCGGTTTTGTTTTGTTTTGTTTTTCTTTTTTCTTTTTTCTTTGCTGTTTGTTTGTTTGTTTTTTTTTGTTTTTTTTGTGTTTTTTTTGGAAGGGCATTTCCCATCCTGGTACATTCAAGAATGACACAGTTCCTGCGGCAATTGTGATTATCGTAAAAGGGCTCCCCACTTTCGATCTACCGCAGGCCCTTGGTGTTGTTGGGTCGGTGGTCACCTTGCGAATACTATGGATTTGTGACCGAAATTTACGCTAAAGTACCAGTTCGGAAATTTGGGGTTGTGTTTAATTCTAGCAGTTGCAGCATCCTATGCTGCTGTGCGTGATGGAGTGCTTAGGCTGTTCTTCGTGATGTAGTCATCTCCCCAGTCCTTCGGTTTGTTTACGACACCAGCAGTATCTCTTAATGGCAGTTAGAAGGCGCTGGTACTTTTGGCGAACTGAAGGTGCTTGCTTATTTTGGAGTCGGAATTTGTGACTGTTTTAGTGCGAGAGCTCGGTTTACAGGAGCCTCTTGATACGGACAAGATGCGACGCAGTAATCGAATTGGGTGCGCTGAGTTTTTCCAGTCATTTGTCGCTTCGGTGAAACGCATTCTGATTAGGGTTGGTTTGGCGAAGAGCTTAGACCTTCGTTGGAATCTGGGCTTTTGACCAACATGCGACACGTTCACCACGGATCTTCGGGATTCGACCAAATACGAAACAAAGTGGTCGCAAACTAGAATGGAAACTTTCGGGGATGAATTACTAATATGATGGGTTTTTTCAGCCTTTGGGGGTTTTTAGATTGTACAAGATGCTGTCGAGATTGAGAATTGTTCAAACTCATTAGTCTGTCTACTTCCAGCCATATTTTCTAAGTTGTGCAAGGTTGTGGGGTTGTTGGGGGTGTATTTGCAGACTACTCGTGAAGCTGATTGAAACTCTCTACGTTTCAGAGTACGGGATTACAAGTATCCTTCGTGTACACTGTTGATACGAGTTGTAGAAGTTAGGGCTGTTTACGTAAGCAGGTTGAAGATTTCGGGATATGTCTTATTTTCCTACTGTTCTTGAGACACTAACTGGACATCAGAAGGAGATTGTTATCCTCGACCATGGCGCTTGCCAGTCTTTATGGAAACACGTGCCTCACCTTCTCGATGAGTATAAGTTATTTTCTTCGAGAAAATAACGTTCAGTGATACTCCAAGTTTTATGATTATGCCAATATTTACTAGCAATTTTAGACGAGTCGGAGATATAATCATACATTAGCATCGGACACTCGGTCACTGGTGTGGTTGAACGGTCACGCACATTATCCAAAAGCATTATGACCTCATTCTCGCCAAGGTGATATGTTTGTAATATTCTGGAAGGTGGTGCGTTGGAAACTTTTCACGATCATCAGGATGTAGGGTGCTAGGAATATATTTGTAGCGGCAGAGCACTTACGTGTGCAGATAGTTTTAGGCTGCTGATTCTTTTGGGGCCTTGACGAAGAAGATCTGAACCAGCTGTGTCATGCTACGCAATCCAGTTTGAAGGAAGGGGTATCAGGTTCTAAATCTCTCCCACTTGGAGCGGTCAGAGACTCAACGGCAGTGCAGATATGCAGGAAGACACTTCTCATATTATCCGTCCAGAAATTGCCTTAATCTTCGACAAGTCCATTTTTCAAAGTGATTCGCGCAGTGTTTTCCATTAGGTCCTTTTCATCCTCCATGCACTGCAAATGAATTGTCGACGATTGGCACAATTTTGGAATTCTTAGATTCTGCACAATTTTTTTGGATTGTTTCAAATCAGTCCCCTGTAATGGAATTATTGATGGTTTTTCATGTCAACTTTTCTGTGAACATGGGGTACACGTACCCGTTAGTGCTTGAATTCTGATCGTAATGGGGTTGCTTGTAGGTCCAGATTCCTTGCCATGTACTCCAAAGCACCAAGGATTTTGGCAGTCCCAGTTGCTGTTGCATTGCATCTTCATCATGCTCTTGTGGATCCGACTACTGTGGAGATTTTATCAACAGAGAGCCACCTGTCTCAACTCAGTGCACCTGATGTTCTTCCTGCATTGAAAAAAGCACCTTGTCAGTGATAGATGCGTGAGAGATGAGCGACTTATTGCTGGAGCCTTTTAGTTGCTATCGGTTCTGGATTTAGTTACGGTTGTTGCAATGGTTGTAGGAGATTCAGAAGTTTATGTCCAATCTCTTTTTTGGGCGCATCAATTTAGATTACAATATGCAGCAGCCCTGATGCTAATGGCCATAATCTGGAATAGGTGTTGTAATCCTTTTAGTAATTTTCGTGATTTGGATTGAAAAAAGAGTAGGTTAAAGTACTACATTAACTTGATCACAAGTTTCACCTGAAATCAGCTAGTTGTCCATCAATTTCTAAGCTAGCTGAAATTTCTGTATCAAGGATCAGACAGAATGGAGTCGAATTGGGGTGGAGAAAGTGTGCAGTCTACCTTTTCTGGAAGTTCTGCAGTATCTAATCTAAGCTCCAGCAAGACTGAGATGACTGCCACATCTTCTACTCCGAACAAGAAGCTTAAACATAACGATGGTAGCTATTCAAGTAGTATTAATTTACCCTTTGGATCAACTTTAGAGCCCTCACATGCAGACGCATCAGCTGGTAGTCCTTCATGCACGAGGGATGCTATATCAATGCTCAGCACAGATCTAGAGGTGGGTTCCAGTAACTTCTTGAACATCTCCTCTCAGTCTTCTAGGCAAAAACTGGGTGTTGCAGCTTCACTGCTCTCTACGGACAACGCTGCGGTGTTAACTGCGTCTCGAGCGAAGAAACCCCAACAAGAAGAGTTTATGGACTTGCCTCATTCTGTTCTGAAAATGACGGCTACAGGGCTTCAATGCGATCTTATCGTTGCTGGGCTTTTGCATGCCCAAGGTCTTCTTGAAACGGTACTTTGCGTGCCCAAGGACTTGATCAGCGTGCCAGTCAGGCTATCCAAGGGACTGTTGTCTAAGAACACTTGCGAGGTGCGGCAATCGAAACTCTTGAATGCTGCATGATTAGATTATAGTTTTTGCTTGCACAGCACTGTACATGCTTGTAGACTGTCTGTATGAATTTCGTTTTAAGGGGATTATTTTTGGGGGAATATTTGTCATGTGAAGTTCAATAATTGTGAATATTTTTTGCAAAGAAATAAAATAAGATTTGCTCGCCACCAATACACATTGATTTGAATCAGTGTGAGGGGAGAATTTTGGGAAGAGTTGGCTCTCTCTCTCTCTCTCTCTCTATATATATATATATATATATATATATATATAAAAAATTAACTCTAATTTTACCTAAGACAATTTTCTGAAACTGAGTTCGAATTATTCCTACAGTTTCGAATTTGAGTCGTTAATTTGGGTGTTCCACTGGGTTGATCTGCAACTAAAGTCCGGTTTGGGCGGACGCTCGTTTGCAGTGTTCTTCACTTGGGTAGTGGATAATGATGTCTGAGATTTTTAGAGGTTTGTTGCTTTGAGCTTATATTGTGTTTTCCGATGTACATATATATGCACATAATTTTCAGTTCTCATTACCGAAATTTTCAGCCGAGGGAATGCTTCTTGGGAGGATCTTGCTTTGATTTTATTTATTCAATAGAGGATTTGTGTTGGTGAATAGCTGTGTATATGACTATCTTAAACACGTGACGTGCTCCATGTAGTAAACTATACTTGACTTAGTGACTCTGGACCCTCTTATTGTGATTGGTTCTGAGTCATTGGGGGATTTTTATGACGCAATCTCTATTGTGGATATCAACTCCACTTGTGAGCAGATATCGTTGGTTTATGTGGTGCTTGTTCTCACAGGACTTGGAATTTTCACATGGAACTTGTCTAGTGCACAATTGAACGGAGTTTGTGGATGGGTTTGTTAGGTGGTTGACACACAAGGGCTGTTGCTGCCAAGCATGGTCACTGCAGCTTTGGGATCTCGACCAAAACGATATTTAGCGACGAAATTCAGCGCCGAAGAGTAAGTGTTTCATCACTCAGTGAGTGTGTCGTCAGTGTCTAGTGATATTCATGAGTCGGTTGATTTATCGTCGGATTCTGTTGTAGCCGGGGCTCAGGGCGTGAAGCAGGCACAGTTGATATGAGATTTTACTCTGGAAAAGTAGATTCTTTCGATCAGTTGAATGTCCAGGAAGAGTGACGAATATCATGATGGTAACAGACGCACTTGCAGTGTCGGTCAAGGGTCACGTAGGACTCGAATTTGACACCGATATCATTTTATGTGATTTTTCACTTCCAAACTTTTGTTTGTGACATGCTGAAGTGAGTATTCAATACGTGGTGGTTGGAAAGGTTATTGTTTCTCGTCATGTTGGAAATTCTTTAAACATTGCGTTTCTTTTACTCTGATTACTGGCAGAAATTTTCAGGGCATGTGCTTTGCTCTCTGGTTGGACCCTGCAAAGGTGCCAGACGTAGCTGAGGATGTGATGCAGGATGCCGGCCACACTCTCCCTCTTTTACTCGCAAATCGTGTCCGAGCTCAGTGCTGTGACCGAATGGGGCGCAGGTTCGACGCTATTATGAAGAGGATGCCACAGGTGACTTTTCTGTTTTCGCTCATATTGTTCATCTTTCTGAAGTTCTACAGTAAGAATGCATGCTTTGTCCGCGTTTCGACGGTGATAGTTCACCTTCAGACATGGTTCGTAGTCTTTTTGAAGGAAATGGGTTGGTAATTAATCATGTTTGCGTATGACAACTTTCCAGTTTGATCGTGTATTTTGTGTTCTTCACACTAACAGACACAACATGTAAACAGGCAGTGGTTTTTGTGGATGATAAAGGGGCACCCTGCCTTGTCAATGAAGCAGCAGCCAAATTAATGGGTCTCCCTAACGCAGGTGAAGCAGATCCAGTGCAAGTAGCTGGTGGCATTAGAAGACTAGCTGACCGGAGCAAAAATCGAGGCAGCACATACCGGTGAGTCATTGTCAGTATCCTTTGTAGCACCTTCAAGTTGTCCGTGTGAATCTAATTTTTCGTTTTCTTCGATTATAAATGCGATGAGCTAACACTACATGGTTTATTTTCTACAATCTATCGTACATTTTTTTTCTAATCTTCATCAATTTCCTTTCTGACAGGTGTTTTAACTCTTTGGTAACCTACCCGGATCATTGTCACGAGTGGTTGTGGGAGCTTAAGGATCCACGAATTGTCTTACGAGTGCGATCATACCCAATCACCAGTTTGGCAACCATTGGTCGAGTATGGCTATTCGATGACGTGACGAGGGAGAAGGATGCACATGAAGCAATAGAGGCAGCAAACGTTGCTAAATCTCAGTTTCTAGCCATGATGAGTCATGAGCTTCGGACTCCAATGACTGGTTATGATTCTCTCCTCTATTATTGAGTTGTATAATAGCAGCTGTAAGGGCCATTTATTTAGTAATACTTTCGAAGGAATTACGATGGAAGCATCCCTTTAATGCTCGTGTTTTAAAATTGTCACTCTCTTGCTGATAATTTTTTCGCTTCTTTCTCTTGTCGACAGGGGTGTTGGGTATGCTGGATCTACTGCTTCTGACGTCTCTAACCCCAGAGCAGGGGGGATATGTCAAGGTTATGCAAGTATCCGCTGAGAGTCTTATGCAGGTCTTGAATGAGATCCTCGATTTCTCCAGAATTCAGTCAGGCCACTTAGATCTGCAGATAGCAGACTTCCACATTGGAGAGCTTCTAGACCAGGTCAGATTATTTAGTTTTTGTTGTTATCTAATCCTTCATGTAAAGGAGTAAATGAGTTTTCACATTAAGTTCTCACATGTCAAGATTTTCAGAGTTCTTGGTGTGACAATGTGGCAGGTCAAAGCCTTGTTTCAAGGAAAACTACAGGAAAAAATGTTGAGCCTTACAGTATCTAAGCCACCTCCGGACGAGATGGCTGTGCGAGGTGACCCTAATCGACTCCGGCAGGTATGTCAGTGGCTGATCCCTGAGTCTAACAAACCTATTAAATCTAACAAACCTGAAATGCTCGTTGCTATTTCGACACTAATGAAAGGATGCTTCAAATAACATCAACGGTGCTAAGGTTTTTGAGTTCACAGGTACTTACAAACTTGCTGAGTAATGCAATTAAATTCACTGAGCGTGGTGATATCAAGATCATATGGAAACGCATAGATGAATCGATTCAGGTAAGACGGCCAAGAGGATTCGGATACAGTCAAAATCAGTTATGCTCTCACTGATGAGGTGCATAACAGTGATACAATCCGCAGTCTTTGTATGTATTTTCCAAGTGTCAGTGACTACTATGAGTTGAGTGACTAGTATAGGGGGTTGCCTTTGCATTGTACATACTGTTGATTAGTATGAGTATGTCAGGTCTGCTTTGAACCCTTCGAAGCAGCATCATGCACTTCGAGCACGGGTTTCTGATTTGTTTTTCTAGGCAGTTGAAGTGTTTTTTTGGATTAGCTCTTATATAGTGGTTACTTTGGAGCTCACAGGGGTTTGTAAAGGATGACGAAGCGCAGAGCGAACATTGCCAAGGCTCACAACCACCTGAGAATCATGAAGTGGGTATGAAGGAAGTTGCTGAGGATGTCCAGGACCCATCTTTCGTTGATTTAAAACGTGATCCTCCTGAAATAGTGTGTGACAGAAGAGAGACAGTTAATGAAAATTCTGAGTTCCTGCTCGATATGATTTCAGAGGATGGTGAAGGGTCTATGAATATGGGAGAGCCCCTTGACAAGCCACCGCTGTGGTTTGAGGTTCGCGTATCAGACACAGGAATAGGTCTCACGAAGGAACAGCAAGGTCGACTTTTTCAGTCTTTCTCTCAAGCTGACAGTAGTACTACGAGGAAGTTCGGGGGAACAGGTCTGGGGCTTGCTATTTGCAAAGGTCTTGTAGAAGCAATGGGAGGCAGGATATGGGTTGAAAGTGAAGTGGGTGCCGGAAGTACGTTTGTATTCTGTGTGCCACTTAAACTAGCTCTCAAGCATTGTAAATACTTGCCTGAGGTGGACATCCCTTCACGTGAAGGGGACAAGAGAGAATCAAACTGGAAGGTTGAAGGGCGAACCCTGCGAGTTCTTGTTGCAGAGGATAATAAAGTGAACCAACTCCTTATCTGGAAGATGCTCAAACATTATGGTCACGAGGTACTCTACGTCTAACCTTCTCAAGGTCATCTGTACGGTTTCTCAAGTCTTATGATGCACAGGTGAATTTTGTCAGTCAAATGGTATTCATTTGAAAGCTTAACATTAAGCAGCGCCGACTTGCATCGCATGGAAGTACATGCAGGCAGGAGAGGAATCTGTTGTACTGTGACTATAATTTATGATCTTCAATAACTCAAATATGTATTTTGTCTCCACAGGTTGAATTGGTAGGGAATGGGCAGCTTGCAGTGGACAAGATCCAAACTGGCCAATACGACATGATCTTGATGGATTTGCAAATGCCGGTTTTGGATGGTCTTAGTGCCACCAAAGCAATTCGTGCATTGGGTGGTGGTGTAGCTGATATGCCAATCTTCGCTTTGACTGCTGATGTACTGACTCAAGGTCGGGAGAGCCTTGGAGCTATGGGCTTGACTGGATATTTAACAAAACCTATTGATTGGGTCGATCTCTCTGCCAAAATCAATCAGGTAGTACAGAATAAGATCATGCAAAGCTCTACACCAAGAACACCATAGCTAAGCTATTAAAAGACAGTTTTGACTCTATAATTGAGAACTTATAACATTTGTTGTGAAAAAGAAATAGAATCACATGTGAAGAACTTTATTATTTTGAATTCTTGCAAATTGTTCTTTGAATCAAATAGATTATGGTTGGTCAAGGCAAGCTGCACACAGTCTGTGTTTGTGTCATATTTAGGAAAAATTAGTCTAGAAAGCAAGATAAATTTATTCAAGTTATTTGGTAGGTGATTATTTGGAAGGTTTTTGGAGTAAATGCACAGTTTTATTTTACTTGTAGAAATGTTCTAAAATCTATCTTGTCATTATATATGATGTGTTTTTATTACATTCTATGTGACATCAGATATTAGTTAATCATTTATGACCATGATTAATAATTTTATTAGAAGCAATAAAAGTGTTTGGTTGAAGTAAAGATTCTTTAAAAAATATTAGATAATTGAATATATTTTTGATGTCTCACAAAAAATACTTTATGTATAAATAGATTTAAGATTAGAAATTTATGAAATTTCAAGTTTATTACAATATTATTCAAGTGTACATTTTGAAATTTCTCTCAAACTCTACAAAACTATTAAAACCATCAAGTACTATTCCACTTAAGTTCAAAGGCCTCCCCCAAAGGATAGTTTAGGCCTGAAATATGTAAACCTTCTTCTCCTAGAATCTTCCTTTCGGGATTTATTGAATTTTTGTTGAAATAGAAGGAAGTATGTGTAGTGTTTATTCCTAATAATATAACACCATCAAGAATCCAACCTTCTTCAAGTGCATATTCTTTAAATTTTAGTTTGGATTTTAGGACTCCTTCTCCATTTTTGAGAGATGCTTCAAATATAATAAGGCTTGACTTATTTACTTTTAAGTAAATAATAATCTCGTCTCCATTGTCTAAAAAGACATATCCATTTGCTTTTCCACTTAAAGCACCACTTGGAAAAACCACCACCAATGTAAAAGGTGTTTTTCGAACCTCAATTGATGTCAATGCACTTTCTTGTAATGGAAGGATAACACCTTCATGAATATGTACATTAATTGAATCCCATGGTGCACTTAAAGTGAAATTTTCACCTACACTTTGTATTTTTGACCAATCAAACATATTATACCAAGTGCCTTTGGGAAAATATGCTTCAATTGAAGTTGTATTTGCTGTAACTACTGGAGATACTAAAATGCTATTACCAATAAGAAATTGGTAGTTAACATTTAAAGTATTTGGATCTGTAGGAAAAGCAAAAAACAAAGGTCTTACAATAGGATATCCTTTTTTATTTGCTTCATAGTTTAAAGTGTAAAAGAAAGGAAGCAAACGATATCTCAAACCCAAAGCTTTTTGAGCTGAGATTGTAACTGATTCCCAAAGATACAATTCTTTAGGTTTATTAGCAATATTATTATGCGCTCTAGAAAATGGATGAAATGCTCCAACTTGAATCCATCGATTGCATATATCTTCAGTAGTTTCATCATTAAATCCACATATATCTGCTCCAATCATTGGTATTCCAAAAATTCCAAAATTTAACACCGTTACTATAGAATATGCTAGATCATTAAAAGATGCACCATTATCTCCAGTCCAATGAGCAGTATGAGCTCCCGAGCCAATGAAACCACTTCGAGAAAGAACAAAGGGTCTCTTTTCACGCACTATAGTCATTGCTTTATTTGTCGCAATTGCTTCAGAAAGTCCATACAAATTATGAACATTATATTCAATTGTTCCATCATAATGTTTTACTGTCATTGCTGCCGTTCTATAACCAAGACCTTCATATGTTCCTTCATGGTTGATTTTGTAAGTGGGAATGTCATACTTGGTGTGATTAAGTACATTTGGACATTGTAAATAACAACTTGTATAATCGTCAATTATTGTACCATTCCATGTACATGATATTCCCGTACAAAAATTAGCAAGCTCATTCATATCAATCCACATTCCGTCAAAAGGTATTTGATTGTAAAAACTTTGCGTCTCATTAATCCACCATTGAGTTGCATTTGGATGGAAAAAATCTGGAAAAAAAACTGGCCCAGGCCATACTTGACCCAAATAGTTCTCTCCATTTTGCTTTTTTAGATAAATATTGGCTTCAAGTCCACGTATATATGTTCCATAATTTTGATATGCAATACTAATACCTGAAAAATGACACAATCTATTATAAATCTTATCAAAATTATACTATAAAAAACATATAAAATATATAAAACATTTTAATAAAGAATAATACCAATAGTAGTAATAAAAATATTTCTAATAAAATCAAACAATTGTTACAAATTATGATAAATATTTTACATGTTTTAGCTTATAATAAGTACATATATATTCAAATCATATATAATTTTACCTGGATCAATAATAATAACATATTGTTGTCCATTGGCATGCAATTCATCTACAAATGCTCGCCATTCTTCCAAAGGAAATCTCTCTTTGTCATTTGTGAAATCTTTATATTTATCCATATAATCAATATCATTCCACATAGTATCGAGAGGAATCTTTGCTTTTCTAAAATTTTCAACAACAGCCTTTGTCATACTCACATTCCTATAACCCCAACGACATTGATGAAATCCTGCAACCATTTCCACATATAAATTTTTGTGTATCTTGACAACAGTTAGAATTAGTACTAAATTTATATATATAAACACAAGAAAAAGAAACTACAAGATTCAAAGACAAATAACTCAATAAAATTATCGTAACAACTAAGACAGCAATTGTTAGTTCTTTTACCAAATGACCAATATGGTTGAGGAGCGGGTCTCCCAACAAGTTGAGTAAATTGATCCACAACATCCAGTGGACTTGGACCTAGAAAGAAGTAAAAATCCAAAACGCCTCCCAGCACTTTGTATGTCAAATAATTCTCCTGATAAACAACCTCCATGCCGTTGCTATTGAGAAGCAAAACACCATGAAACAATCCTCCTTCACGGCCATCCAGGTAAAATGGATACGATCCATACAAATCCACATCGGTCCTTATAGATCCGGTGTCGGTAGCCCACAACGTAAAAGTGCGATTCTTGTTGAGCTTTAAACCGTCAGGCCGTGTGCTTTCGCCCAGACCAAACAAAGCTGCTGTGGAAGGCAACTGGGTAGACAGTTCCAGATATTGGTCTTTGAAAACCAGTGAGTTGAACAATAAGTTTTTGTTGCCTGTCGTCGGAGGTGTCGAGTTGAATAACACCTCCCCGTTCGATATCCTTGTCACAGCAAATCCAAATGGTTTTCGAGTATAGGTAACAGCTAGTTGGGGAGAGGAGACGTGCTTTAGTTTTGAGGATAGTTTGGGTCGGGGAAGGAGGCTGTGAGGCACTTCCCATCGAGAATTGGAATAGTCTGAAATGTACACCCGCAATCGTGTCTTCTTTTCAATCCTACACAGGACGATTTTTAGTGGAAGTAAAATAAGAGGATTAAATCAGGATCACACCCTGAATATATCAGACTAAAGATAGCTTTAGCAGATCACAATATGGTTTGAATACGATCAGCTAAGTGCAGGAGTTTGTGAGTGGGAAATTGATGCGACTGATTCCATTTGTTGGATTGGTTACCGCAGAATTGATTCACCAGTGAGATGGAGGAGAAAGAAGGGGAAAGAATGGACGAGGTTTTGATTGATTACCTGACTGTCACTTGCAATGGATTGATATCTTCACCGTATGTGTCGTTTCCAGATTCAGAAACGAAGCCTAAGGTTGCCTCAAAGCCTTGCTTGTTCTCATATTCCTTCATAGACGTAAGGATGTGCATGCCGCGCTGGCGATCCATGAAAGCTTCATTGAATTTTATTCCTGCATCGACTTCCGGCAACTTCACCGAAATCACGAACAAAACCAATGCGGAAAAGAAAATCTTGCCGCTTGCCATGATGGCTGAAAACACCGTTTCAAAACTCCTTCGAAAGATATCGATACAATTGATTTTGAAAGTAATCTGTCACGAAGGAGAAGAAGAAGAAGAAGAAGAAGCGGCATCAGTTATGAGTTTTCATTACAAAACATGATCATTGGCAGCAGGATGGGTCATGCCCTCCGATTCAAAAATATTTGCAACAATGGAACACGGCATAAAAACCATAGAATTTCAATCACTAGCAAAACCCAACACACCGAATACTATGTATAGAATACTTTGAAGTACATGTAGAAAGATGGACCCAATGATTGCAGCTTGCATTCAATTACAAGATGAAATGAGCAATCTAAAGAGTGCCTAGTCTAGGCGCACCTAATTACGCCAACCAGGTATTCTACCGAAATCGCCAACTTGAAAAGGACACACACCGCTTTACGTCTCTGTAGGTCTGCCAGGCAACGGTGGTTGTTAAAATCGTAGGGCCATTCTTCACTCTTTAGAGGTTACAGCTCCCATATATCGTCGCCATCATCAACAGGGAAAACCAAACGCATAAACGTGTACATCGAATCATAACGTAAACAGTTCACATGACGTCGTTACGCGATCAATCATCCCACTTCCAATCTAGTCATCAGCCAATAAACCAATAAAAGTGATCTACCCACACCACCCTTCCCACTCACTCAATCAACAAAAACGCAGGTCGCTAGAACGGCACCAAGCCAGCTCTGCCCCAGCAACCTTCCCTCTCTCACCAGCCTGTACTGACCCGCAGCTGAACTCCGCTGCTGTATGTAATAAGCTTTCAGAACCGATATTTGATAAGCTATCCCAGCAACACAAGATACGAGACGGACATGAGAGCTGGTTCCGCACCAGAAGTAATGACCCGTAAGGACCAACTCTCAAGGCATCGTGAGGAGACCGTAACTCACCGCCTGAGACGAGACAAACAGTAACAGCATTTGCTGAAAGAGGCAAAAGCTAGTGAAAGCAGTAGCAGCAGCACTGGTAGCATTTTGGCAGTGAAGAGGATAAACGCAAGCAAGCAAGAAAAAGCACGCGCAGAGAACTGGTCCTGTTGATGGGCTGTGTCATATACATACAGGTGCCAGAATGTCTGCACCAGTAGTGCTCAGGTCCAGTTGTCTTCACTGCAAGCTCTCCTAGTCTCTGTTGAGTTCTTGCTATCTGTCCCCTTATGATTTCATTTAAAGCGTGCTCTTTTTTCTTATCTTCTAGTTCACGGCTCTCGATGCTGTAGATTGGTGGGATGCAGTTGTTTTGTTGTTTCTCGCTTTACACCGATACTTGTTTATGTTGGACTGCCATGCTGCGGTCCAACAGGAGGACTTTACAAGACCAAGTCGCATGCATTCGTGGCCTTCGCCCATTGATACCTTTGTTTGTCCTTCCCAGAAACACGAATGAAATTCTTCCCTTCAACTTCACTTCATTCATCCGTTCAGACAGATAACTTCATTCATGCACTCAGACAGACAGACAGACACCTTTTCGATTTTTATGTATGAATTTGATGTAAAACGTGAAACAAAAGATGTAATCAAAGTTTATTTATATATATTTTTTTCTTTACTTTTTTAAGTGAACCATTAGGTGGACATCCTGAATGCCATTCACCCCTACATACACACAATACTTTTTATCTTTACTTTTATTTTTTTCTCTCTCTAAAAATTTTAACATTTTAAATGAAAAATATCATTAATTTCATTTAGGGCATCTTTTTATTGGGAATTGTTACTTGGGCTTTCAAGGTTACTAGCAAGTACATGACATGACCTTACAAGATTGGACTCAATACATATGATGATCAAAAAAGGCAAAGGTTTATTTATTGCTTAGTCAAAAATTATATGGTCTCTCATCCAACTGTAATTTGACTTGTGGTGCTACTTCTCAACTGACAGCTAAGTGCTTTCCTTGACCCTTACGTATTCTTCTACTTTGCTATGTCCCTCATTAATTTTGATGGCCTTATAATGGCGTATTATCCTCTCTTTTATTGTTCCTCTAATGTTGTGCCATCAGGGTATTTTGGCAGGCATCATGTATGGTGGATACATGCTCCTTAGAGAGATAACATCTTTATACTTGGATGTGGATTCTTTAAGCAAGTAATATTTCACCTCCTCCCTCTGCCACCTCCTTCTTTTTTATCAAGATATCTCACATTTTGTCCTTAGGATCTTTGAAAAGTAAGAATTTTTTTGGATTTGGATTGTGCATCTCAGAATACTCTGTGGATGGTGGTTCCTGTCTATTGTACAATTTAAAAATTGTTTAGGCAAATCCATGTATATATGATAGTACTTATATTAGATTTTTGATCCATGTTGATAGACATCAAAAATTGTGTTGCATATAGAATTTGAGCAAATCAAGCAATTTACCATGTTAGAGTGGATGGAAAATCTTTCTTCAAGATAGAGATGTTTGACAAAATGATTCAATATTATACACTAGGCTTCCTCTACATCATTGATCTCTCCATCTAAGCCACTACTATGCACATCATTGTCATTGAGCTTGTGCTTTGTGATTAAGTAAGTAAGTTATATCATGTAACATATTCTTGATATCAATCGATAGCCACAAGTAATAAGTACATCAAACTTATAGTTTGATACAATATTCAAGATCTATAATTGGTCCTTCTGATCAATTATACATGTAAGTGATATGTGAGGTGAATTTGCATCTTTATGTGTCTATTTAGGATATGAGATTGTTAGAAGGGCTATTATTGTATACTATACTACACATTCTTTTATCATTTTTGAATTGATCTAAGTTAAGATTTATGTATCCTAATCTTATTCTGCTAGTAGGAGTAGATCTTCTTTGTTTCATATCTTTATTGTTTGTGTCATGCTTTTGACATGCAATTGCAATCTACTAAGCACAAATGCTAATGTTACTTGAGCTTCTTGGAATTTGGCATTAAGAGCTTACAATTCCTTGACTTAGATTTGAATGACATTTTTCAATGCTTTAAGAGTATCTTATTTCTATTGTGTTGCATAAATTTTGTCTTGTAATTTTTGTAACTCATCTTTTATGATTGTATAATTGTACTTGAGTTTCATAAGTTTGTCTTATTATTGAAAAATCACACAATATATTTTTTAAATTGAGACGACAAGTTTTCTATTTTATGCAATTTATTTCCTATATCTTAGATGCCTATGGATGTTAACGAAACATTATGTAGTTGGACTATGTCTTGTTTCAATTGTTTGATCTACAATTGTAATACTATGTTGAACTTGTAATATTTATGGATCATATCTTAGGCATAGTCTTCACGGAGCTATAACCTTGTGGTTTCTTCATTAGCCAATACCACCAACTTGTGTAATATATACATTAGGATTTTGTGTTGCAACCAAGTTTCTTAGATTGTTGCTTTCTAATTTGTTTCCTTCATACTAAGATGCAATAAATCTATTACAATGATGTAGATATCGACATTGGTCCAAGATTTCTTATGCTCAACTTCATCATTAAATTTTTCATATAATATTTGCTCTTGACATCTTCTTTGATCTTTCTATAGATATTCTTGATCAACCTTTGACGTAATATACATCTAAATTTGGTAATATGATATTAATATTTGATAATATATATTGAAAAGAAGAAACTAATGGTAGTACAAGAATATTAGTCTTTTTAAAGATACCTCAATTTTTGTGTACAAGCATTATTGATGATTATGCCTCAGTCAATTTTTTTATCATTTTTCACTAAGAGATATAAGTCTGTGGTGACATTTGAAATAATGTTGACTTACTTGCAAAAAAATATTCAAGACAATATGCCACAAATATGGATATACCTCTTAATGTTACATTTGATCTTTACAATATGCATATTGTATTTGTTTATTCTATAGATTTTATTATTAGTAATGTCATTATGTTTAAGGTATGGCAACTCATATTCAAGTCAATATTTAGTGACTTTCAAAATATCAAATCCAAACATTACCTTAAGATAATTTACATTCCACAAGATTTCCTTGTCTTTGATCAAATCTAAGTACTAGTCATCTAATGATTTGTATCATGCAATGCTTTGGACAAATTTTTAATACCACTTCTTATTTATGGCAATTAAGAACTAACAATAATAACTTCATAAACCTACATTATCGGCCCGCTTATTATCTTATATATCAATCTATGCTTAGATCTTAGATATAGTGAAGAATTGTATATATATCAAGATGCTTACAAAAAAGAAGGAAATACTTGAAATCGAGATAAATAAAAACAAGAAGGAAAAGAAACAAGATGGTATAAGTGAAAGATGGCAAGATAAGTATTCTAAGATGGAAAATTAGTGTTGAGAGGTATTTGTATAAGAAACCATATTAATGTAAAGGTTTTCAAATGTTGTTATGTTGGCCATCAATTTTATTGTCAATAAGATAAGCTACTTTATAATTATACCATGTTTAAATAATGAGGTGGTAATATGAAAAACCACAATCTCAAAAGAATGTGTTAGATACAACTTAGAATTATAATTGTATGATGATTCTGAATTGTCATTTTTTTTGACGATTCAACTAATATCTTTTAGGAAAGTAGCATATAGGCACGTAAAAATTGAGCTTGTAAATTCATATTGACAAATTTTATTTGTATTTATGATAGTGATGTGTATATTATAATTTTTTTAATTGATTAATAAAACTATAGAGTTGGACAGCACAAACTGAATTCTATACAATCTATGCCAAAATGCATTGAATTTGATACTTTGAATTTTTGGGTCTTTGGGGCACCAAATGATCATGTTGTTTCTATTAATTTTGAGAGGTTTACACTTATTTTTAATAGATAGTGGATATTTTTTTTCTAACTATATTCAATTATGGTTATAGCATAGTGGTGTAATTTGTCTATTTTTTTGAAATCTTTTACATGAGCCACAAGTGCTTTGATAGCCGAGTCTTGCAAAAGTAAGAATTTATTGAATGTAGACACAATGTATTATATAGGAAGTAGGGATTGAATTCCAAATACAATTTCAAACAAAGAATGGTCCATTGCAATTTTATAAGCTATGCAATGGATCTAAAAGATAGCCAATAAATATTCATTCTAGTCGGCTTTATTCTCATGTATAAAGCAACATAACATATTAATAATAGTTTTTTTAGTAAATTTGGTTAGTCCATTGTCCTATGGATAATAGGTTGTAGATGTGTAATGCTTGATAAACAAAAGGTTTATCAAATATTGCACAATGATTTGTTGATACTTCACTCCAATATGGTATAACAAGCTCTTGAGAGATAATCAACAATAATATTTTGTATTTTAAAGATGTAAATAATTTAAAAGCCATATTCTATAAGTAGCATTATCTATCAAGCTATACGTCCAATAATCATGAGTTGATTTATTAGATTGAATAATGTGTAATGATCAACAAAAAATTAAAATTTTTTCTTAAAAAAATAATGCTTGTATTTTTTCATGGCATATGCTATTGCCACAACCTCGCATTTTGAGGTTGAATAATTTTGTTCTATCATTTTTAACATTTGGCTTGCATACAATACGAGTTGATTTACTTTCTTTGTGTGGTTTTGTGCAATCATTTCTCTAATAGAGACATTAGATATGTTGGTGTATACATTAAATAAGACTTACTAATTACATACCAATAATATTGGATAATTCAAATATATGCATTTAACTCACTTAAAAGCTTTAGCAAGGGAAGTATGCTAATATAGCTCATATTTATACTTGTATTTATTGAATTTGGATATAGGTGAGATCATGTGTGCCAAAATTTTAATAAATGTCATGTTGAACTAAGCTATCTCAAAAATATTTTATATGGCTTTATGATTGTAAGGTATAAGTATATTCTATATTTATTTGATTTTCTCAAGATTGAGAAACTTGTCCAAATGATAAATAATATATCCAAGTATGAGCCTAGAGAAGAATAAAAACATATATTTATTTGCTTTAATTCTGATGTCATATTTTTAACACGCTTCAAGATTTGTTGCAAATAGTAGATGTATTTATTTTTGGATCCATAGATGGTTATATCATCAAGGTATATTTAAAAGAATTTTTGGAGATATGATTTAAATAAAAATTCTATTACATATTAGAATATCATGGGTACATTTTTTGC